AATGAGTTTGCCGACCACTGCCCTAGGTGAATTCCTTTTGTAGTCTTTTCATATAGGGAAGAAGAATTTATTCACAATGTTAGCAAAAGGGTGAGAATTTTTTTTTTTTACACCTTAAGACTGTCAAACCATAAATGCCTATTTCTAAGTTCTTTAAACCAACAAACTCAGAACTCACATCCTTTACTTCAGTAAAAAAAATCTCACACTTACAGCCCAGCATCATAGAACTACAGAATCAGTGGAGACGCTGGAATGAAGAGTTAAATAATGAATCTGTGGAAAAGAAATAATGCCCCTACAGAAAAACACCTGTACAGAATAATTGAACAAAAAGTGAGAAATTAAATTCATATGTTTTAAATTGTGCCTTTGGAAATTAAAATAAAGAAACCTGTTGGGTGGCCAGATAAGGATTGAGGGGCAGAGAGGGAGAGGACTTTTATTAATTGGAGTATTATATTCCTTGACATCTTAAACTTCTAGCTGCAAAGGCTGCTTGTCATTTTGGGTTGTACCCTCCCTATGTTCTTAAAGTCACACTTCACTCTTAGCCCAACCCCCCCACCTGAAGGTGAAACTGGTTAGTTTCAGTTCCGTTATTTGGCACTCAAAAGGGTTCAGACCAATTCTGACTTCTGGCTTCTGAGACTAGCAAACCAGCTGGAATGAGGAACGTTCTCACACTCAAGCTCTTGGTCAGGTTTCAGTAGAACTACTCCTCCCTCTGCTGGAAGCTGTAGCATTGAGCAGGTCTCAAGGAGCGGGTGGCAGAAACAGCTCCCGTCACACTCTTCCAAGTAGAAGCTGATTGACCTTACTCACCTTACATCGCCTCCGTGAGCCTCAATTTTTGCATCTTTAAAATAGTAATGTTAAAAAGCTACCTTTCAAGACTGTTTGATGAGTCAAATGGCCACATAAAAGGCACTTAATTGATGGAAGGTATTATGATTAGACAATTTTAGGGAAGACAGCCAGCCTGTTCCTCAAGTTTTTCAAGTTTGTAAAATATTGTTGGTTTTCTGAATCTGAGAAAACACATATATTATGTCAATTCAAGAAGCTGTTTGCTCTAGGGTATAATTTAAAACACTACTCAAAGACCAATGGATATATTCCTTGGTCAGGGATATGATAACTAGACATCATCAAGATGTGAATTATCCCTAATTTAGTAGTATTCCAATACATTTCCATGGTGTCTCCTGGAACCTTGGAGAAGGACATCCTATAACAGCATGAAGCAACTGCTATAGAATAGAAATGGGTGCTGTAGAGTGTATAGGCAGAGTGGGCCTGAGAAGAGACTGCATTATCTTATAATGCCACCGCATAGTCAGCAACCATATTCTGGCTCATGAAGACTGTGGAGTTGGGAGGGGCATGGGACACACTATAAGACGTAATCTTGCCTATGGAAAGTACTCCAGTCATTTGCATGCTAACTCAGGCTCAACACATTACTCAGTCTTTTGGGACTAGGGCTACTAGGTAAAATACAGATGCCCAGTTAAATTGAATTTCAGATAAAACTGAAACACAGTGTTTTTTTAAATATATATTTTATTGATTTTTTACAGAGAGGAAGGGAGAAGGATAGAGTGTTAGAAACATCGATGAGAGAGAAACATCAATCAGCTGCCTTCTGCACACCTCCCACTGGGGAATGTGCCCACAACCAAGGTACATGCCCTTGACCAGAATCGAACCTGGGACCTTTCAGTCTGCACGCTGACGCTCTATCCACTGAGCCAAACTGGTTAGGGCCTGAAACAATTTTTAAAATTTGTTTTAAAAATGAGATATTTGGCACACACTTATATAAAAATTATAATTTATTGTTTATCTAAAATCCAAATTTAACTGGGCATCCTGTATTTTTATTTGCTAACTCTGGCAATCCTACCTGGAGTTCCCCCTTTCCCCTCTTCCTCTTTCCTGGCATCCAGTCAGAGCAGGAAGCTTGGGTAACAGTGTTGCATCAGAGGCGCAGCCTGTGGCCTGCATGTCACAGCCTTTCCTGAGGGGCCTCTTGCCCCTTTGGGTAGCAGCCTCTCCTCTCAGTGCGTCCTTTGCCCCTAAAATCTGCAGGCTGTTCTCTTGGCAGGATCAGGATTCCAGGTTTGGGGTGCTCTAAGGACTCTGAGGCATCCTCTATTTCTCTCAGGGTTTTGGCTGCCAATCCCACGGCTTCTGCTTTGGGGTCCTGTGACCTTATTTCTCAGCTGCTTCTCTAGCTCTCTCATGGGGCATTGGAACTTAGTCAGATCTCCCTCAAGTCTTATTAAGCTGAGGGAAACTTGAGGGTGACCTCTCTCTCTCTCCAATTCCTTCTGGAAGTTCAAGGATAAATATATTAAACCTTTATACAGGAGTCACTAAATGGGTTCCATCCTGGTGGCCGGCCCTGCCCTGGCTCTTAACTAGCGCAGGAAAGAATTTAAGAATGAGTAGAGTGAGATCCAAAGCAAGTTTTACTTAGGGAAAGTTCTATATAGGGAGAGAGAGGCCAGGAGGCTGGTTTCCTGGTTACAAGTCTGACAGGGTGTCACTGCAGAGGTACATGTCTCAGTGGATACCGGCAAACTCATGTCTGAGTTGTGCGCTGGTATGCTCCATTCTGGAAGTGCCATGGTGCCCCTTCTACTTGTGGTGTCAGTTTTTTTAAAATTGTTATTGTAAAAATAAATCTTTATTGTTGACAGTATTACATATACCCATCCCCAATTGATCTCTTCTAACTTACCTCCATCTCCCGCTCCAGGCCTTCACCACATATGAACATAGAGGTACATACATTATTTCTGATCGGTGTTTTGGATTTCTTAGAGTATATTCCTAGAAATGGGATCACTGGGTCAAATGGTGCTTCCATATTTATTTTTTTTGAGGAAACCCCAATACTGTTTTCCATAATGGCCGCACCAATCTGCATTCCCACCAACAGTGCACTAGGGTTCCCTTTTCTCCACATCCTCACCAGCACTTGTCATTTGTTGATTTGCTGATGGCAGCCATTCTGACAAGTGTGAGGTGAGATCACTTTAATTTGCATCTTTCTGATGATCAGTGACTGAGCATGTTTTTCATATGTCTCTTGGCCATTTCTATGTCCATTTTGGAGAAGTATCTAAATATTTAGATCCTTTGCCCATTTTTTAATTGGATTGTTTGTCTTTTGTTAAGTTGTATGAGTTCCTTATATATTTTGGATATTAAACCTTTATCAGGTGTTGCATTGCCAACAGTGCCAACTATTCCCATACAGTGGGCTCCCTTTTCATTTCTTTCTCATGGAGAGATTTGGTGTTATACCTCAATCAAATGATCAGACTTCCTTCTAACATGGATCAGACATTATGTGCTAATTCTTAATGTGATGCAATAAGAAGTATATTACATCACCTAGGTCAGTGGTCAGCAAACTCATTAGTCAACAGAGAGGCAAACCGCGGCTCACGAGCTGCACATGGCTTGCGAGCTGCGGCTTGCCAACCAAGTGGTGTAGTTAGTTGCTAAATATGTTATACCTGAATCAAACCATGAAGAGACAGTTAAATCAATTACAGAAAATTCTATAAGAAAACATCTGAATTCTTTTTAAAAAGTCAGTATCCTGAAAAACAAAATCAAAGGCAGGGGGACACTTCCGGTTAAGAGACATAAAAACGAAATGCACGTGTAAACCTTATTTGGATCCTGAATTCAACAAAAAAAATCTATAAAATCTATTTTGGGGGGCCATTGGGGAAATTTAGGTGTGGATTGGAAATGAGGTATTACTAAATTAATATAAAATTTTAGATGTGATAATGATATTATATACAGGAGAGTACACTTATTCTTAGAAGATGCATGCTGAAATATTTAGGGACAAAGTATCACATCTTCATCTTATTTTCAAATACTTCAGAAAAATTAATAATAAAACCAATGTGGAAATGTTGACAACTGGTTTATCTTGGAAAAGGGTATACATAAAAGTTTTTGTCATAGTATTATACTTTTTTGCAGGTTTTAAATTTTTAAAAATAGAAAATTGAAGGAACATTCTTGGCTCTTCAATTTGAGTTGCTCATTCTCAGATAAGTTTTTTAATTCATTCAATATAAATTTATTTAGCACCTACTGTCACATATTCTTATAGGTTACTGGGGAGTAGTAATGAACTAGAGAGATTATTTGCTAACCTGTTTCCTCATTCATAAGTAGAGATACAGTAATAACATCCCTACATAAGCTAATGCTTGTAGTGGAGTAGACACTCAATAAATGTTAACTGTTAGAATTCAACTTTGTCTCTTGTTGACCTACTTCCATCCATTTGACCTTTGGTCCTTCAACTGTACTTTAAATAAAAAGGCATGATCCTCCATCTTATGTATTATTCCTATTCTGTTAATATTATTTGCATTTTAATTTTTGGAGAGAAGGTATTATGTTAGGTCAAAACAAAGATAAAGTAGTTAGGGGTTATATTTTTCAAATTAGGCTTGTATATATGTGATTATTCTAAGGTTTAAAGTTTATATTCATATAGATTTTATTGATGATTATGTCCTGGTCTAAGATTGGGTCAATTAAAGATAGAATCAATTAAAAAAAGGTTTCTAATTTTTTTTAAAAAGTAGATACTGAACTGATTAAATATTAAAACACATTGGAAGTTCCAATAATCTTGTCTCTTTTACAAACTGTGTATATTTAACATGTTATTTTTTTCTATATAAGGATTAAGAACACTCCTCCCACATTACTCCACCCACTCATGTTTTCAAATGTTAATGGCTTGGCCTGATAAACATGCACTTCATTCTAAGCCCATACAGTAAAATTTATCTTTGAGTTCCAAAACTTCCCTTTCAGTGTAGGCTGAGATCATAGCTCATAACTTATCACACCAAGAATTACTTAAATGCAATAATACTACAAAAACCAAAAACTTAAAATTGATAGGGACGACCCAATAATTAAAAGTAGTAAGTGATACATTTGGGTGAAGTGTATTTTCAAGTGTTTATTTAAAAAAATAAAAAAGAATATTTCTACTTTCTGATTTTTCTATTACAACTTTTGAGCATACCAAAACAATTATTCATATATTAGAATTAATATCAAGCATACCATAAATCTTAGGAGTTTTACATTGCATTTCAATACTTGACTACTAATAATATAGTAAATTGTTTTTATTATATAATTTGGGTAGAATTAAAATAAATAACACACAAATAATTTAATATTTTTTTATGGAATACCTACTATGTTCCAGGCTTTGGAAACACAAAAATAAATAAATGGTCTCTGCCATCAAAAATCCCACAGTTTAAAGGGGGAGACAGACTGATAAACAAACAAATTTAATGTACTATTGCAGCTTTGAGAATGGCACAAAGAACTATGGGGAACCTTCAGAGGGCCACTTAATCCAGAATGGTAGTGGAAGTTAGGGATGGTTTCGGGATCAAGATGACAAGTTTTACAAAAGAGGTTGCTAAGAAAAGAATTAATGATGAGTGATAGGAAGAACATTCCTAAAGGGGAGGTTGCCAAACAGTCTTAGAGATTGGACTGCCTGATCTTTAAGGCCCTTTCAAACTCTAAGAAGATCATAAGAGACAAGCAATCATTACTGGGTTGATCCAACAAAAAGAATTTGTAGAGAATAAGGGATCTTTCTCATATTTGCCTATTTGTTAAACACTGCTTTTCTGGATTCTTAATCTTCATGCTATAGAGCACAGTATAAGAAGAGAACGCCATCCTAACTAAAATGTTTTGTAAGCACCTTCTATGATGGTGCTGGCCACAGATTCAGAATAAACAATCTGGTAGAGTGTATACTATGGCACCTACTTTTAAGAAAAAGAGAACAAACATTAAATTAAAGGTTACTGGGAAGCTATAAACTTTAACAAAGTCACGTATTTAGGGTTCTCTGAAACAATGTATATATTTTTTTAATGTGGAGAAAACTGAAAGGAGCGGTCCTTTGTCGTGGTTATCTATGAGTAAAACACTAGATGGTGCTATAAGATGGGCAGAAAGAGAGGCTTGCTAGGAACAATAGAATGGCAGTCCTGATGGTAGTTAAGTATTCTGAATGTTTTAGCCCCATGATCAGATTAATTTGAAACTAAACCACAAATTTAGTACATTTTATAATGGTTTCAATGTCTAACAGTTCAATCTGATTTCACTGAAATGGAAAACTTAAAGTTATTGAAATATACATTTACTATACATTTAAACATATTGCTATCAATTTAATTTAGGTTATCATCCCATAAACCATTTAATGATTTCCAAGACAGCTTCTTCAAATGGTTTGCTGAATTTTTGACTTATCATTAATCAGAAAATGCCAAACTCTATTCTCATTCAAGTACCACAATAAACACAAATACATGAAACAATACATTTTGAAATTACTCTACTGGTACATTATTTTTTATATAAAATACATTTCATGATTTTTTCATGTTACATTAAAACCAGAAAAATATTTCTTACTAAAGTGCCAAGTAAAAACACAGCTTTACTTTTAAAAAATTTTCTACTTTTAAACATTAAATTTTTAAAAAAGTGAACAACAACAACAACAAAATGAGTGGATAAAGATATACCTTTTACAACCTAAGAGTCATTTTAGGTTTAAATTCTCACATTTATGAGATCTGTTTGTGATTTGGTCTTCTCAATTCTGCCTCTAGAATTTCGCCCCAGGTTTCTGCATCCATTGGGCACATGATTGATTCTGGTAGGCTAATAGGAGAACATATGTTGCTGTATCTGCCACTTAGCCATCCAAGTTTCACTTGACTCTTCTTGTAATTCCTCAGTAGTATGTCCTGAAAGAGGTAAACCAGCATCATCACAGAAGATAGTAGGTTGCTGCCTGGGGAGCTGAGTTTGTTTGAAATCAGAGAAGATGATTGACAGGGCTGAAAAGAAGATTAAGTTTTTACATTGATTTATACATATACTACTAAATGTGTGTGTGTGTGTGTGTGTATGTGTGTGTGTGTGTGTGTGTGTAAATATACATGTATATGTGTATATATACAGTGTGAACCATAGAATTTGCTGGGGATTTTAGATAATAGGAAGTGAAAAGAAGTACTCACTTTCCTTCTGGTTAACAGAGGAAAATGCCATAATTTAAGATTGAAAAAAATGTTAAAGGATGGATGGGAGACAGTGTGGTTTGCAGGAAAAGAATCATAATTCAACTTTAAGTTCAAAAGTCAACACACTCTGTATGTCTGTATGTCATTCTCTGTATGAAATCCTACCTCACCCAAGCAGAAAGCAGAGTTTGGCTCAAATCTGCCACCATATTGCTAATAACACTGCAGACCACAACAATTACACTTACCCTCCAGGAATAACCGCTTTTTCGATCATCATCTACTTCTCTTTTGCAGACATCTTGTATAGCCAAGCAATGAGGTTTCCATAAGGAGTCATTGTTTCTTATTGTGGCAAACCAGCTCACGCATGTCATTGAAGCCCTGCACAAACTCTGAATGTCCAGCTCACCGAAAATGTGTAAAGCAATTTCTTGAGGCAGCCATTTAAAGAAGTTATTTTGATTCATTTTTTTTCCTTCTCAGTATCCACAGAGTTCAAGTCTATATCGGAAACTCTTGAATTATGGTTCCTCTTGGAGTTATTCTGCATAGCTTGCTGTTTTAGTTAATTATCCGCATAGGTAACCTAAAAGTCAGAGTTTAAAACTATTCAGTCTCTTCAGATTAGACTACGGGTCCCACTGTGAGCCAGATAACTTTTTGGGCATGATTTTAAAAATTTTAACTTTCTTGACTTGAGCTTTTCAATCTGTAACATGGGACCAATAATGCTCTTCATGTGTATGTTCTTGCTAGGATTAACAGGGAAAACGTGTGAATCATCTAGCCTCACTTCTGAATTACATGTTGGAGACACTCAACAAATGTTACTTCTCTTCTTCTTTTTAATGTTTTTAGTAAATGGGTTTGCTAGTAAACATTTGTCTTTCTGTTTGCTCCCAAAGAACATTATCTAAAAAAAAAAAAAAAAAAAAAAAAAAAGACTGATTTATTGAATTTAGTAGAAATGCCTATTGTGAGAACACATTCCAACTATTTATTGAAAATACCTTTAAAAATGTGTAGGATTCAATTCTATTAAGCTCCTGAATACTCATTGTCTGTGGGAACTGATGCCTTGTCATTAAGGTCCTCACCTACAATTTACAACCTAATCATAAACCTGATGGACATTTATAGTTTATATAAAAATTACTTGTCATCTTGTACCTAATGGGTAGGTGGTCACAGTGGACACAAATATAATACTATCTGATATGGATAAGACTTTGAGGTCAGGGTCACAAAGTCTCAAATATTCAATTCCATGATAAGATGAGTGTTTTAGAAATGGCTTCTTGAAGCTATCCTACTTGCACAATTAATTATGAACCAGGGATAATAGTCACTGAGGCTATCAAGCACCAGTGACTAAACTATAATGTTTATTATTCAGTTAGGTATAGCATGTAACTAATAATTGTGGTGGTGAACTCACAATAAAATATACAGATAATATATTATAGAATTGTACTCCTGAAACCTAATTTATTGACCAATGTCACCCTAATAAAGTCAATAAAATATTGAAAATAAATAAATACACAAAAACTAAATTTGTACCTTTATTTCTACCAATTACTATATTTAAAGTGTTTTTGCATAAATGTAATGAGAAGTTAAACTAATGCATATAAAAATTTTTTTTTCCTATCTGAAAAAAAAAGTCCAGTTCAGATAATTTACCTGAGGTGCATAGTACATGAAAGCATGGAGCTATTTTTGCATATGAAGGCAGCTTATACTTACTTAAAATTAGTTTATTTCATTTAGCACTTCCTTGTATAAGGGATTGATGGTGTTGGAGACGGGGTTTGAGATACAGCTAAACATGTCTTTAACTTAGCTCATGACAACTCCCTTTCCAAATGAGCTACTCACCTACAGGTTCTGGAACTAAGGCCACAGTTGCTCCCGCTCAGTTGGTTGTTTATAATCCCAAGGAATATTGGTAGTGAGTATTTTAATGCCTGTATTCGACAGAAAACTTCCTCCTCTTCAGGGTTTGGGGAAGTAAAAAAGCAAAGTGGTAAAAACAAGTTTTATGAGTCATCCCCAAGTTTTTGCCATGCACCTACCCTGCCCCCATCATCAATATAAACCAAAGCCAAACTATGGTTGTTTTTTTTTTTTTTTTTTTTTTTTTTTTTTTTTTTTTTTTTTTTTTTTTTTTTTTTACAGAGAGGAAGGGAGAGGGATAGTTAGAAACATCGATGAGAGAGAAACATTGACCAGCTGCCTCCTGCACACCTCTCCTACTGGGGATGTGCCCACAACCAAGGTACATGCCCTTGACCGGAATCGAACCCCGGACCTTTCAGTCTGCAGGCCAGCACTCTATCCACTGAACCAAACCGGTTCCGGCAAACTACCGTATTCTTGAAAACAATTTCCTATTAGGAGATCGTTACTATTTGTTACTACTTCCAGGATCTCACTGGGGAAGAAAAAGCGCCTTCTCTTTAGTTACCGCACAAGAGGCAGAAGAAGGCTTTTGAATTTAACAGTGTGTGTGTGTGGGGGGGGGGGGGGTGTTACTTTGGTGAGGTTCCTAAAACCCCACCAGACATCTTTCTTCTAAGTCCAGTTTTGCCTGGATGCCTGGAAAACTATCCCCTTTCTGCCTCTTCTTTAAGAACCAACCTGTGGAATCGCCTCTGGAGTTAGGGAAGGGCTCGCCCCCTTTCAGGTGTCACTCTGAGGGAGATGGATCCGGAGACAGGACAGACCTAGCCGCGGGCGCCTCCTGCTCTCCGGGAGCCCCCGCCCTGTCCAGACCCCGCAAGTCGGAGAAAATGACCCCGAGCCACCCTTCTTGCGTGCCCTGCCCCAAGCAGACTGCAGCTGACAGCTCAGAGAACACAGCTGACAATAACAACTCCTCAGAAAGGAGGCAGCCCTGGCCGCGCCCCGACACAGCCGGCCAGATGCAGGTTGGAAGGGAAGGGATGAGCTTACCTGCTGGACGGTGCCCGCTTCTCTGGCGATTCGAATCCTCTGCCCACTGAGCCCCATTCCCGAGCCCCCCTGGCCCCGCCCACTCCAGCCCGGCCTTGTTGACTCTGATTTCGCGTTGACGTAAGAGGAGCGCGCATTGCCTTATGGGATTGGTAGTTTTACTAGGGCACCATTCGCGGGGCCAGGCAGGAGAAGGACCGCGCTGCGGACTACAAGGTCCGGCGTCCTCCTGGCCAGGTGGGCGGTGGGAGGGGAAAGGGGACGTCTCACTCATGGGCTTTAAACGATAGTTGGGGTACAGGCGAAGGGGGAAATCCCCGATTGTGTCACTGGTCGGAGTGGAGAGGCGGGACTTGGCACTGTCGCTGGGGCCCAGCTGCCGGAGAACTTGACAAACCCGTTCTATTTCAGCTCTTTCTACGCCCTGTGTTTTTCCGGGGCCGGTCCAGGCTCCGCGCTGTTCCTGGAAGGCGGAAAGGGCTGCGGGGACCTTGTCCTTGGGGAGGGGCCTGGTCCTCGCCGCCATGTCCGGGGTCTTTGAGCTGCAGCCACGGGACGGCGGCCCCCGGGTGGCCCTGGCGCCCGGAGAGACGGTGATCGGCCGCGGGCCGCTGCTGGGAGTAAGTGTGGCGAGGGCGCGGCCTGACCCAGAGCCCCGCCGCGAACCTTCTGGCTTGTGAGGCCCTTTCCCGGCCCTGATCCACTCCGGCCGGCCACGTCTGGATTTTAAAGTTTGGGGGCAGCACGTTTCTCACTCAACCTGAATCAACTCACACAGGTTTCCCTTTTGTTACCTTTAAAAAGCACGGACTTGTGTTATCATCATCATAATCTTACCAGTGGTCTGCAAACGGTGGCCCTGGGACCAAGGCCAGCCTGTTTTGGGATGGGCCTGTGTCCTAAGAATGATCCTTAAATTTTAACATGGAAAATGTAAACAAACAAAGGACCTGTTAGCCTTTCTGAAAATAATTGCAACAAGGACTCTGGCTATTGCCTCTTGGCTTGACAAACCATAATATTTACACTAGTATCTGGCTCTTTATATTATAGAAAAGTTTGCCAACCCCTGAATTTATCTTTTGAAGTTTTTGGCCTGTTTTGTGTGACTGATGGCATCACTTTTATTGTGATAGTCTTTCAGTAGCTAACCCTTATGGGGTGTGTAGTGGTCCAGGCATACCAAGTTCTTTAATCCTTTAAAACCCATTATCATTATTATCCTTATGGTGCAGATGAGAAGATTGATTTGTAGATCGGTTATTTAAAGGCCACAGGTAAGGTTTTGGACACAAAGTGGCACTAAGCTGTTTAATCACCACCCTCTTTGGGATGAAGAATTAGAAAAGTGGTTTGTTACATTCTGAAACTTTGTAGCTCTCCTTCTTAATATGTACTAGTACACGCATATTTTCTTAAGAGTCAACACTTCTGTTTTAGTGCCCACTTTGTGCAACACATTTTGCAGACTAGCGCTGTGGGGCATACACATATGAGACATGGGTTGATGCTGTCCAGTTTTCTCTTGGATGGTGGAGACAAAACCTGTGTCAGTGAGTTAATACCAGGGAGTAATGAGTATGGACTGTTGTCCTGGTTAACCTCCAGTGTCTAAATGGAGCCTTTGGTATTAGCCTCAGAACCTTCCTCCAAGCAGGAAAAGTTGTGAGAAGGAAGTCAGTCCTAAATGTGTGTGTGTGTGTGTGTAGTAAGGCTAAGTAAGAAAGTTGAAATTCACCTGTTGTTTATTTTATTTTTTTTTAACCTGGCAAGTAATCACTTAAATGTTTAAATAACATTGATACTTTTTGCTACAATTTATTAAGCTGTCCAAAATTTGAAGGAACTAACTGCCCGGGAGTTTGCCCTCTACCTCCTCTTTTCTCTTCCTTCTTTCCTATATGCATCTCTCCCTCTTTCTCTATATATATCTTTATATCTAAGTTAGGAACTTAGCAGAGTATGTACTTCATCTAGATCTTTTGACTCTTGACTAATGCGTTTTGATTTGCTTAACAAATTATATCATCAACTCAGAGTTCTTTGGATCTAGTTAAAAGATGGATGAATTTTAGGTCTATATTTTATAAATACATAAGTTGCAGTCTTTCATCATTTGTAGTTTATTTGTCTTATAGGTTTGTTGTTGTGATATGAGCCTATTTGTCTTCTGTTTTTGAAAATGTTAAGGAGTAGAAAGTCATTTATCTGGTCTGGATTTTGCTTTTCCTTTTCAAAGAAAATCCAGGGATGGGATTCTATTGCCAAATTTGGCAGGGATTAGAAGTGCTTATGAACAATATTCTACATGCATTGAAGGGAAAATGTGAAGAACTAACAAATCATCTGTGGTTTTTAAGATTTTGGAGCTGACTGACACATGTTTCTTTTCTGTAGTGGTTAAAACTCAACATGAGGGTTGCTTTTTCAAATAGTAGCCATTCCAGTAAGGTTAGGTTTGTTTTTTACTTTTTTTTTTTTTGTAGTATGAGAGAGCAAAGACTTAATTTAAGTGGAAAAACTCAGGAAGTTAATTGTAAATTCACATCTATCTGAAATGATCTATAATAGAAGTATAATATGCTAAGTAGATGGGAAAGCTGAACGACCTTTTGGATGTCATTCCAGACATCCTTTTGGATGAAGCCACAGCAGCAGGGGCTGAGGCAGAGTCGGTGAGGGGCAATCAGGCAGGCAGGAGAGCAGTTAATGGCGATCAGTCAGGCATGGGAATAGTTAGGGCACATGTGTCAAACACAAGGCCCTCGGGCCAAATCCGTCCCGCCAGGCCTTGCAATGTGGCCCGCACTGCGCTGTCATCACTGCACTCCGCTGCGTTTCCATCACAATGACAGTTTATGACTGTTCAGTAAACCATTCGGCCCGCGATTTAGGCTGGATTTTAGATTTTGGCCCCTTCTCTGATTGAGTTCGACACCCCTAAGTTAGGGGTAATTAGGCAGGCAGGCAGTCTAGCAGTTAGGAGCCAGCTGTCCTGGATTGTGAGAGGAAAGCTCTACTGCTGGGTTAGGCCCTCAGAATCGGGCCTAAACTGGCAATCAGACATTCCCCAAGGGGTCCCAGATTGTGAGAGGGTGCAGGCCAGGCCTAGAGACTCCTTCTCCCCCCCCCCCCCCTTTTTTTCCCCCCCATGTATGAATTTTATGCATGGGGCCTCTAGTTAATAATAAAAATGATTTTTGAACTGATTTAATTAGCCACATTGTTTTAGAGACAAGTTTCACAAAACTTTATGGCCACACAAGCATAAAGGTTTATAAAACAGTCTTGGTAACAAGGATGTTTATGTCTTTACAGTGGCAGGAAAACCCATATATAACAGAACCGAGTGAAATTTAATTTCCTGTGCTCTTTGCTTTAGTGTGAGTCTTCAGTGAACCCAAGGTCTTTGTTTACTTTACTTTGCTAGGTTGGAATTATGTTTAATGATCCATACAAATTAAAAGCTTTTACAGCAGGATGAATCTCCAGGGAATTATCCTGGATAAAAGCAGTCAATCCCAAAGGTTACATATTATATTTTATTTACCTAACATTATTGTAATGACAAAATTATAAAATTAGAGGACACTCTAGATTAGTGGTTGCAGGGGTCAGAGAAAGAGGGAAGGAAGCAGGAGGGATTTTGTGGTGATGGAAGTGTTTGTATCTCTACCTTATCAGTGTCAATATCTGATTGTGATAGTGTACTCTAGTTTTACAAGATGTTACTGCTTTGGAAAAGTGAGTAAATGCTATGAGAGATCTTTCTGTATTGTATATTTCAACCACATGGGATCTACAACTATCTTAAAATTTTTAATTAGGAAAAAGTTTTACAATACAGCATCTGAAGCAACAGAGTACCTTTAGGTGAAACTATTTGCTTTATGGTTTTTCTTTTATAAAAGATGATTAGTTATTATTCTCTTAAATGAAAACTACTGGCTTATTTGTGTGTGTGTTTTTTTTTAAATATATATATATGTTTTTAATTTAAATTCTTTATTGTTGGAAGTATTATGTATGTCTCCTTTCATCCCCCCCCCCCCCCCCACTTGACCTCTCCCTGGCTGCTCCCATCCCCCCAGCACATGCCATTGCCCCCTGGTGTCTGTGTCCATTGGTTATGCTTATCTTCATCCATACAAGTCCTTTGGTTGATCATTACCTGCCCCCTCCCACTCCCCAACTTCCACCTTTCCCTCTGAGGTTTGATGCTCTGTTTGATGCTTCTATGTCTCTGGATCTACTTTTGTTCATCAGTTAAAATATATTTTTATTGGTTTCAGAGAGGAAAGGAGAGGGAGAGAGAAATAGAAACAATGATGAGAGAGAATCATTGATCAGCTGCCTCCTGCATGGCCCACACTAGGGATCGAGCTCACAACCTGGGCAAGTGCCCTGACTAGGAATCAAACCATGACCTCTTAGTTCATAAGTTGATGCTCAACCACCGAGCCACGCCAGCCAGGCAAAACTACTGTTATTGATTTTAAAAATTTCTTTTTCTGTTTTCATAGCAGGAATTAGATGACATTCCTTTTTGATCTATTTTCCTCCAGGGAAATAGGACAGCACCAGATATCTATCTAGTGAGATTCCCTGAAGTAATTGAATCGACTGCTTTAATTAAAAAGAGGAGGTCCCCAGTTGGTGGAGGAGTCATGGACATTAGCGTGGACTCTTCAAGTGGCGTCAGTTTACCACTTGTAAGAATGCTGTAAGTGTCCCAGAAAGTTTCTACAAAGTAACTGCTCCTCATTCTGGCAACTCTGTACTGTTCCTGCATGTTGCGGAATCTCACTTGCTCTCTTGGAATGCTAGTCCTACCTTGTCCAACAAGGTTTATTCCTAGGGTGTGCCGTGCCAAGCATTCCTAGCTGCTAGCTTTTGCTCCCTTTCTTAATTATTGAGCCCAATACATGTCTGACACATGGTCTGGTTTTTCCTGTTCTGTGTCTCAACCTTTCACTCTTCCAGTCCTCAAAAAAGAGTCTATTTGTAACTTAGGGTGAAAAGGATATAGAGTTTGGAAGTGCATTTTAACAAAGAAGCAGTGCTACCCATTGTTAAAGCTTAAGGAGCAACATTCATGTATTAACATTCTTCCTATTTTGTTGACTAATATTTTAGTAAACTCAGAAAATAGTTGATGAATATATACTAGAGTCAGATGGGAGGGATAAAAGAGAAACAAGTCTTTACTCTCAAGAAACTTAAAGTTTAATAGGTATGAGAGACATAGACGCAAGTAACTAAATGAGTCACAACCTCAAGTGGGACTGAGGTAGGCAGGCAACTTGAGTGAGTGAACTGGAAGTAAGACTTCTTCAGTACGTATGTCAGTGATTATGAAGTGTTAGAATAGGTAGAATTTTGGTCGGTGGAAAGTGGGTAGTAGGGAGGGAAGGTCCCTTTCAGACTAAAATAATGTATGATTTCAGCCTCTAAGGTTTGAAAGTGTAGGCATATTGGATAATTGGATAAATGCTGACTAAATTGTGGGATAATCATTACAACAAT